AAGTTCTTAATTCTACAAGGGAATATTTAAAAAACCTTGAATTTCCACTAGTGTGACCCATGTGATGCATTTTGTCTTAGCATGTCATTATCCCTATTTTATCAATCACCCCTCCAAACTGTATGAAATTAAATGTAAATTACTCTCTATAAAATCATCATTGTTCAGACAAACCATAATTTTTAGTCTTCAGTCTTGTTTGGTTACAGAGCTATCGAAAAGAAAATCAGACCCCTCCTGCCACACCCACCTTTCAGATCCTCTCTTTCACAAGTCGTTGATAGTTCTCTCTTACATTTCATTATATATTACCTATAACCAATAGAAATTCAAGGTTTTCATGTATCAAATGACGTATTGTATAACGTTGTCTTCTGAACAGGAAAGCATCAATTTCACTCAGAGTACAAAGCCAGAAAAATTTTGAGAGGTAAGGGAATTTGTCTACTTTTTGCATGTTATTAGTTTATATTACTTGGTGCATTATGTAATTAAATATAAATTATTAAATGCATTACTATTAGTACTATAAAATGCTAGGGTTAACTCTCTTTGAAACTTGACGGCAAGAAAAAAGAAGATTAGTTAAGTATTTTATTTCTTGTTTTTTCATATTTATTCTTTATCTATTATTATAAAGTAACTAAAATCTAAAAAAAAAAGGATCTTTTAAAGTTATTTAAGACTTGATTAGGTAAGATAAATAATAATAATATAATTAAAATGGTTCATGAGGCATGCATGCAAGCAGCTCATAGGTAATGTAATTTGATAGCGTAATGTGACCTGCATGTTTTTTATGGCATGGAAAGTAGTTATACATGGTTCAAAGGACAATAAAACAATAAAATTTAATTATAAATGGATGTATAATGTTATGAACTTAGAACTAATCAAGATAAACGAATGTAGTTTCATGTTACAATTTGAAGTCATTCTAGAACGAAAAAAAGTTTAATTTAGGTTTATTTAGATTTTTTTTTTTGGTGGTTATGAGGTCAGTTGAATTGGCTGATCCCATTTTGAGATAGGGTAGAGAAACTAACAGATAAACTATAAAGTTTTACTGAAAAGAAAAAATGTTTGACATGCATTTAGGAGCTTTTAGGGATCACACAAAGGAAATTTGAGATTTTTGAGATGAGGAAAAGTATTTATAATTTTAACATGAAAATTACTTTGCACATGGAATATTCAAAACAAATACTCAATATATTCATGGACAAATCTTTATTTTATTTTATTAAAAAATACTTAACTAAAAAATATGACTTTTTGCATGTGAAAGACTTGTAATATTAACTGAAAGACTGCCAAATTTCATAGGCCACGACCAGTAGTGCATAGGAGCTGTGACTGGCATCTTTTGTACAGATGCACAATCACTACACAAATGGACAGTGTCCTCAATATCCTTATCCAGACCAGGCCATGAACAGTAACACTTGGCTGAAGCCTTCATTTGACACACATTTGGATGTCCATCATGTAACTAAGTTAACAATTGTTCTTGGTGCATGGTTGGAATAATAACCCAGAGTTCCCACAGGACTCAGCCTTGCTCTGCAGATAATTCCAGTTTTCAATTGAAATATGAACATAACTAGGGTGTGTTGACTTGTTGTGGCTAAACATTCAGAGTGTAGTCAAGCACATTTGATAGCATAGTATCTTTATTTATAGCATTTATAATGGGTCAATAAATTTGGCAAAAATCTGAAATAGTATTGGACCATTCTGAGAAAAGATCTAAATTTTATTATACATGTTGGTTGTAGAGCATTGATAATGGCTTTCTCTTTATCATTGGTTGTATGTAGTCCTTCAGCATCGATCACATGTCCCAGATATTTAACACTGAATTGCATAATCTGACATTTTCCAGACTTAAGGCAAAAGCCTTAGTGCTGTAGACATTAGAAAATGGATTAGAGACATTGTAGATGATGATCATGTGTTGATCCCATAACCAGAATATCATCAAGGTAATATAAGATGCCTTTGAAACCCTGGATTCTTCTTGGAGTATTGTCACTTCTTTTGCCACACACTATGCAAATCGCCGTAGCGCCTTGCTGCTGTAACTCCCATGTGTCGTGCTCAAACATTTACATTGCAATATCTATTTCTAAAGCACACTTATAAGTCAAATACATTTCTGACAACAATTTCCTTTGAATAGTTTGTGATGAAAGACCACACACATAATGCTTCATTTAAAAAGGCACCAAACTCACAATCTTTTGATAATTTTCTCACTTCAGCACTAAATGCCAATAAACCCTCCCTGTTGAGTTGATTATGGTGGTGAAATTTAAATCGTTTTGCTATGACCAGCAGCCTAGGAGTGAGATGAGCTTTTAATGTGGCTGTTAGGTCGGCATATGATTTAGTTGATGGCTTTGTTGGCACTAACAAATTTTTCAATAGGACATATATTTTGCCACCAATAACACTCAAAAATACTGCCACATGTTTGGCTTCAGCAATTTCATTGGTCTTGAAATACTGTTGTAAATGTTCTTCATAAGATTCAAAATTTTCTTTTGCCATGTAAAACTTGTCAATTTTGCTAGGTAGCCATTGGGTCCA